TTTTTCACTACACTTTAATAATAATATTAAAAATCAACGATTTACAAAATTATAGATAATGTTGAAAGTTTGAAATGTTAAAGCTCAAAAATCGCGGGTTAACCACGTGAAAATACTGAGAAAAGCTCTACTAGTTTCGAACGACAGAAGGGCTCTTCCTCGTGAGTAGATTGCGTGACATCGCCGCGACCGTGCACAGCGATCATGAGGAAGAACCTCTGAGAGCTTTTCTCAATATTTTCACATGTAACTCGCAATTTGTATTTAATTTAGTACGTATGTCTCACGATAGTTATTATAAAAACACAATAAACTGTCAAACACCAAGCGGTCACCGGTGACCGCAACCTATTGTTCTATAATTGTGTCTACAAAACCGGTACTCGATGAGTTAAAGCCCAATATTGCCCTTACCATCAAACTACAGAACGGCTGAACGCGTTAGCTAGTAGCCTGATCATTAATTTGATTTCTTTTAGTATATATACCTACCACAATACCTCCACTAAAAACAAAACACATGCCCTCTTTTCTAACATGAAAAGCGCATACTATTCGCTCGTCTATACCCAATGAGATTCAGAGGGCACGTATACAGAGCCGTTGGACTGAATTAGTAAGATTTAAGGACTTAACGGGATTCATATAGGGTAACGGTGTATCTACACGAGTCATTGAACTGTACAATAATAGTTCAACACCATGAATTAGCCATGGATAAGCTGTAACTGCTTCAAAACATGCTAACCTTGCCAAAATATTTTGGTGTTGGTTGGTATGCTTGTTTTTATTGATAACTATACGCGTAGAATATGATTCCTGTTGTATCCCATGGGAGAATTTAATCGGGATAAAAAGAAAAACACCTAAAAAAAGAATCACAATAGTAGATGAACAATAAAATAACAATAAAACAGTTACAAACTTTCACACAGACTTCATAGACTTTTACAAATACTGAGACAAACATTTTTAGTAGCTTTAAACTGTCAAACACCAAGCGGTCACCGGTGACCGCAACCTATTGTTCTTTAATTGTGTCTAATATTGTCTAATATTGACGGTGCTCGACGAGTTAAGCTCGTCCATGAATCCATCCATGTCCATGAAGGTCACAGTCGGGGTAGGCTTCCATGAGACTATTGAGCACGGACCAGATATGAGTAGGTGTGAGTAAGAGGCCTCGTATGGACTCCAAATGCAGGAGAAATTATGCTTTCTTCGAGTCAAATTAATTGTATGGACAAACTGGTGAGTCGAAGGTTCGATACTTATTCATAATGCTTCTCAGTGATAATCTAGCAACTAGTTTCGACCACTAAATGATTTTCAGGTCTTGTAGTACCTAAAGTAAACAGAAATAAAAAAAAAGGTCGTGTACTTTTGATCAACCTTTAAAACTAAGTCGTAGAAAATCTTCTACAAGGCGATTTACCTGATTTCCGAAGGAGGTCGGTATGCTGCACTGGTGACATAGACATCAGAGCCGGAGTCAGCTCTAGGAGAACCGTTCGTGTGCTGGTGCCGTCTGCCATTCCTGTGCTCGCCTGATGGTGACCGGGTCCTCTCGTCCATCGTCTGGAAAAATCACAAAAGAATTTAAATACAATTAGTTTTATTTGGACAAGCTTGCCGCATTTGCTCCACCACTGCAACTCCTGTAAACCAGGGTCAATAACAGATGCGATAACAAAGACCATCATAGGGACATAAACAGCTGTTTTGCATCCCATACCAAAATCAAAAATACGATCATCTTAAAAGCAAAACACTAGTTTTTCATCTACAGTTTCAACCGCGAGGGATTTTAGAACATTTCTCATAAGTAGTAAGTAGAAAACCTCCACAATAATTGCCTATGTGGCATATATGCCTATGTTCTCTTAAGTGTGGGAGAGCCATGAATAGGCCGGCTCGACCGGAGTGATATCACGGCGTCACAAAAAACCGACGTGAAATATGAATTTCGTCGTGTGAGTGAGGTTACCAAATGCCCAATTACCTCCCGCTCTGTTTCCCAATCTCTTCAATCCCTGAATCCCCAACAATCCTCAAATTCCTAATCCCCAAAAGGCCGGCAACACACTTATAACGTCACTGGTGTTCTGGTTGTCCATGAGCGACGCCGGTTGCTTACTGGTGATACGTATACTCGTTTACCAGCTTATCCCACAAAAAAAAAATCCATAAACACAGCATGTCAATTATTGCAGTAATATAACTAAAATTAATCACAATCACGCGCACCTACGTCCTCATACAATTTTATGCGTTTGTTGGCATGAAAACGCCAGTCGGTCGCAACTTGCGGTGGGGACTAAAATAGTTTTAAATCAGATATTTAGTTGGCATTCCATGTTTTGTACATCATGCCTGTCAATAGATACTGCACTCGTATAATGTTGCCGTCAAACAATAATAAATATTTCTCTGTCTGTCTGTCTATTAGATAATTTGTAACATGTGTCTACCTACGTCAATCGACATTTGCGCGAATCTAAATACTGCAGCCGGTACTTGAAACATTTTTGAAATAGTTCGGCATGTTTTATTTCGTATTAACTACTACCTACTCAAACATAAACAAATTATATTGTCTTTATAATAAGACTTCAAAAGTGACTGTTTGTTTGACCTCTGACTTTGTTTCGGTAGTTCTTCTCAAAATAGTTGTATAAGAAAATCTATGGTAGTTTAATTTTAAAACATTGAGACGTAAATGTCTCATTTGAACCCCATTTCAAAAAAATTACTGATTCATTGGCAGATTGGTCGCAGGTGCGACTGCCGGGCAAGATCTCGGGTTCGATTCCCGGGTCAGGCAGAGTGTTACGACGTACTTAGTAAAATTGACATATTGGGGTGGTTGATGTGCTGGCACTGTACTTATAAGTTGGTGAAGAGACTGCACGGTTGGCGCAGCTTAGGTGACCGCCTGCTGTGCAGCGTATCGCGGGCTAGTCTAATTTAACTAAATTAAACTGTCAAACACCAAGCGGTCACCGGTGACCGCAACCTATTGTTCTATAATTGTGTCTACAAAACCGGTACTCGACGAGTTAACTAAAAGTCGCGGGTTACTCATTTGAATATACTAAGAAAAGATCTAGGCTAAAAAAGAGCAGGCTGCGCGACATCGCCGCGACCGCCCACGCTGCTCATGAGGAAGAACCCGTCTGTGGTTCGAAACTAGTAGAGCTTTTCTCACGTGATTTTTAGTTAATTTAGTATGTCTCACGATAGTAATTATAAAAACAAGACTAGTCTAGTTAGACAGACTGGCGACCATGATGGAAATCGATCGGGAGATTTTATAAGTTGGTGAATCAGGCACTAAACCTTTAAAATATTCTTACCGTATATTCTGAAAGCGTGCGTTCCGAAGGTGCCCGGTGACTGTCATTCTCCTCCCTCGAAGAAGCTCGATGAATATACCCACCAGACGACGGGGAATCGACACCCGACCTGTGCGTCGCTACATAATGATTGTTCTTCACTTTGTGCGCCATTTTGTGTCACTTGTCAAACTGTCAAAGATGGTAGAAAGTTGCTCATGATTGGGTCAGCTTAGTGCGCATGCGACATTTTGGTGGCGGATTTTTCTGGTTTAATTCATCGTTTTTCGTTTGTTTTGATGTTTTTGTTCTGAAACAAAGAAAGGGTTGATGTTAGTTTGTTTGTTTATTAATTTTATATTCTTGGTTATAATTTTTAGGGGCGCCTATGAAGTGCTTGCTTAGGGCGCTTAGCTAGGGCGCTTCCTATATTTAATCCGCCTTTGGGTTGGTTATACATACTTTATAGACACTGGATACATTTGTAGAGACTTGACTTTCAATTGGCGATATTTTTAAAAAAAATCGTTTAGTCGTTAATGTTTAAAAACAATAAAATAGGTTTCCAAATTAACCATGCTTTTTCTTTATAAAGAAAGTGTTTAATTTTACAGAGGAAACTTTAACACAGGACTGTTATTGATGATGATATCAATGCCAAACGGGAACGAGGCCAGAGGCAAGTTCCCCTACATTGAATGAAAATGACATAGTATTTTCAAACAGTCGCGGAGAACCTAACGGGTAACCGGGGCTCCGGCTCGACGTGCAGGAGAAGGAACGGGGTGGTTTTTAGTCAGTAAGAGTCTGACACTCCCTCCCGCCTCACCCAGGCGGGGGCAATCATTCGATGATTTTCCCCACTTAAAAAAAAAAGTATCTTCAAACAACGACTGTGGCACCTGGCTACTATACACTTACACGTAGAATACACACACATTGACACGAAGGACATCTCTCGCGTGACATGGCGCGTCATTACACTTCATACATTACGGTGTTGCAAGTACACGCACACATAAACACGACTGATATTTTGGTGCTTCAATTATTTCTTTTTTTTGTTGTTTTTTAATTAATCAATCTTTATTGTCGTAATATTAAGTATTTCTTCTGTTTGTTCTAGATAGATTTATGTTTATGGAAAATTTGTATTGGTGTTTAATAATTTAAACTTTGGCTAATAACTATTCTCTTGAGCATGATGTGTTAGCCTTTAATTGATTGTTACACTAGCAAATGCATATTGTAAACCGATTTGTTGTAATATGATGTGTAAGCAGTCGTTGGCTGACCTTATAAATAAAATAAAAAAAAATATGTATGACATTTTCTACGTTAACCTTTTTTCAATATTCAACGTCCTTTCATTTACCTTAAAATAGTTTTCTGATAATGTGGAAAATCAAATAAAAATCACATTTTCCGCTTAGGGAAAGGGAATCTATGATCTCTATAGTACCTCCTTACCCTTGCCGATTCGGAGTCGCGGAGAACCTAATGGGTAACCGGGGCTCCGGCTCGACGTGCAGGAGAAGGAACGGGGTGGTTTTTAGTCAGTAAGAGTCTGACACTCCCTCCAGCCTCACCCAGGCGGGAGCAGTCATTTGATGATTTTCCCCCCATAAAAAAAATAGTACCTACTTTCAACTTGTAATGTATATAAGAATCATTATTCCCATTACACACAAACAATAGGGGTTTCCTGGCAAAATTTTATTTTAATGTCCGTCTGGCACATTAATTTAAAACTTTAGATAGGTACGCATTTTTTCTTTTCTCAAAAAAATTAATACTTTCGACGATATATTAAATTGAAATATCGTGCGACGTCACAGCGTGTCACATTTTGTAGCACGTTATGACGTAGACCTCCCACTCCTATACTTAGCGCCATTTTATCTAAGTATTACAACTTAATATAAGAAAATAAAAAATACGTGTCTAATATTTTTTCATTATGTAACTGTCGGACTAATTGGATTTTTTATTTTGACACCCTTGAAACTACCCAATTAGCTTTGAATTACGAAGACATAAAGCTAGAATCGATATCTGCAACTACCAAAATATTCTATCAAGCAGAATGTACACGAAATTCAACTATTTTACGACCTTGAACGGTATGCGTGTACACAATCAATTATGTGTCATACCATTCTACAAATAGAGTTTACAATCCAATAAAATGTTGGCAACTTAGAATTATTGCACGAAACAATGGAATTCCGATCTTAGTCGATTAATGACGCAACGATTGCAGGTATCGATTCATATCCATACTATTTACCTGTGAAATTACTTGTTATGTTTTATCGATTGTACGTAGTTTTGTGACAAAAAGTGAGTGATACTATAATTGTTTGTTTTAAAGTTTTTTTTGTCGATATTAAATGGAAATGAAATCGTGTCATGGACAGATCATAGATAGCAGATTTAGTTAACAACATGAGTAGCTTTAATGTACCGGCTTACTCACAACTATTTGGTGAGAAGACTCGACCAGTTTCGAAACACGCTAGGGACTCATATAGGTACTGTTGACTGCGCGATGTTTACATGTCAGGTTAGGGTAACTGTTCACTTTGTGTCGTTTGACGAATGCATGCATCCTTTACAAACAATAGAAGGGTTCAAAGTTGTCACTTGTCATGTTGTGGACAGTTTTTCATTGTTTTTTTAGGGAACAGAGAGTATAGTTCCCTAAGATCGGAAAAGGAGGATCCTCCGACCAGGCGAGGTGATCGTGCCTTATTTTTTTTAACTCGTCGAGTACCGGTTTTGTAGACACAATTATAGAACAATAGGTTGCGGTCACCGGTGACCGCTTGGTGTTTGACAGTTTAAGGGGGAAAATCATCCAATGACTTCTCCCGCCCAGGTGAGGCGAGAGGGAGTGTCAGACTCTTACTGACTAAAAACCACCCCGTTCCTACTCCTGCACTTCGAGCCGGAGCCCCGGCAACCCGTTAAGTCTTGTGAAGTGAAGGGAAGGAAAACATCTTGAGGACACCTGGGATTATAACTTGTAATTATAAGTTTGAACGCCAACCCGCATTGAGCAAGCGTGGTGATTAATACTCAAACCTTCTCCGCCTTTGGTCAGCAGTGGCTATTTATAGGCTGTTGATATGATGTGAACAAAATGTGATGTAATTAATATTAGAAATAATTAAGTCTATGTACCGGTCCATGCAGTAAAACAACGTAATCTCAATAGCCAAATTAATTTCCTACTACTACTGTAAAATATAGCTTTTGATCTTTGAGTCGTGAAGGCTCAAAGGCTGCAGGTAGCTGGGGCTGCGTGAGGAAGTGGTTCATAACGGTGTAATGCGAACATTTCACGAACTCTTACTGCTATGAATGAATGCGGCACAAGTGGGCAGATGAAGCGAGTTTAATTTAATCTTTTGATTTATAGAAAAATCTCTCTCATACTAGAATTGTGTAGTAGGTTTATTTACAGACACGAATAAGTACTTACTTATTTATTTACAGGCACGAAAAAACCAATTTGTGAATAATATATACAATACGGACTTCATTGTACATTATACAGTGAATTGATGGACTTTTTTTTAAGGGGGGAAAATCATCGAATGACTGCTCCCGCCTGGGTGAGGTGGGAGGGAGTGTCAGACTCTTACTGACTAAAAACCACCCCGTTCCTTCTCTTGCACGTCGATCCGGAGCCCCGGTTACCCGTTAGGTTCTCCGCGACTCGATTCAATTACTTTAGAAGATTATCTTCATCGATTTCAAAACAAATTATTTTATTATTTGTTTATTTAATGCATTTATCGCAATTTCTCATCAGTTAGACCACGCTACGTGCTTCAACGGACCATTGTTTTGAACGTACTATGGTTTCTGCGGTGCTGTCGACCAGCAATGGTGTAAGTTGTTACCCAAGTATCTACGCTAAGGTCTAATCAAAATAGTCACAGTTATAAACCAATTAGATAAATATAACATTAGATATCATTACGACCACTATTCTCGGACAAGGTGAATTCACCACAGAAAAGGGAGAAATACTGTCACTTTATAGTGGAACTAACAATGCTTAAATATATCAAATTGTCTTTTCGTTTTAGACGTTTACGTGTGGCGAGTTGGGTACTTACAAGGCTTTAATAGTGAAAATTTCTAGACTCAGCCTATATTCTTTCCAAAAGGTACCAAATACAAGTCTAAGTACTTATGTTCGATTTACCGCTGAAACCTCTGGGTCATCAGTATTGATACCTATAATTTACATAACATAACATAACATCACGCCTTTTTATCCCCGAAGGGGTGGGCAAAGGTGCACATTTCGGCACTTAATGCCACTGTTCAATATAACACCCACTTTTTCACTATTTATGTTATAAGTCCCATGTAATAGGGGGTGAGCTTATTGCCATATACCGGGCACATTTCCAGACTCCGTGCTACTACTGAGATTAAAAAAAACCCAGTAATACTTTGCCCGACCCGGGAATCGAACCCGAGACCCCTTGCCCGGCCGGCAGTCGCACTTGCGACCATTCGGCCAACGAGGCAGTCTATTTACAATTATTCTATTAATATAATATATTTCTACTTATAATTTATATTCAATCAAATACTTAAACACAACACAGATTATCTATATTTTCTATTCATCATCATAATCAATAGGCGGAATATGCCCACAGCTGGACAAAGGCCTCCCTCTTCGTCCTATTTTTTATTTCCGTATATATTAAAGCACCTGCGATTATAAAATGAAAACGCTTCACATTCTTAATAATCTTCTGCAACACGGCAATCGAACCTAAGCCTTTACAGGTTCACACAAACAGTTCCTAAGCCTATAACTCAAGCTATCTAGCATTAGTAATTCACTTAGTCACGGTGCAAGGGTAACAGAAATGTCTAAACACCCAATAAGGTAAAGCAATGCATTAGGATTTAGAATACAGTAGCATTCCTAGGTTACCTAAGTAAATATATTTATAGGAAATGTAAGAACTGTAATTAATTCTAGGTGAATTGTGAAAGGAGGTTATGTTATGGGTAAAAAGGTTTAGTATTAACCTGTTTACAATAGGCTTTTTAATCCTAGAAAGGGTAGGTAGAGGAACAATGTTTCTACGATGTACCTTCCGCTTTTTTCTAGTTGTGTGTTGTGTTATGTAGCCAATATAAGATCATAATGGAGGATAAATCTATTGTTATGCACCGGACTCAATTTTAGAATCCTTGTCAGTATTAAAACTAAACTATTAACACTTTTGAAAATTTGGAAAACTGCAAAACTACTTTGTCCGACCCGATAAT